GCTCGAATGATACTTGAATGATGATGATGATGATGTCAAAACTTTTTCTTGATATTCATTTTTTGATGGTGATTTATTCGACGTGAAAATTCAAAAATAAATCAAACTAGCCGGATGGAGTTAAAAAAATAACATTCAACTCAGTCTTTTGACGCTGATCCTGAGTATGATATTTCTATTGCATAAAAGTTGAGTTCTAATAGAGAAAACTGCGAATTTCAGCTTTTTCGCTCTTGATGTAGAAAAAATAAAAAATCAATTATTCTGACTACTATTTTGAATCTAGAATTCTTTTAAGTATCAGATATTGTTCAGTATTTTTGGCTCTTTCGAACGACATGTTGATCAAAATATTTGAATGAAAATTGTCGATTTTGTAGGTGAAAAACTAGAAAACGGTAATTTTTTGACTTTGATCCTGAGTTGTGACGATTTTGTTATTTTTAAAAAATGCATCAGATGCAAAATTGTTTGCTTTATAACATATTAAATTTTGATTAGTTCCCCACATTTTCCTGCTTGACTATTCAGGTTTTTCCACGAAAACCTCAAAATTTTAGTAAAATCCTTTTTTCCGACTACTGTTTTAACTTTAATTTTTTCAAATATCAGATTTTGTTCAGTTTTCTACGCTCTTCCGAATAAAATGTTACTCAAAGAAATCGAATGAATATTGACGGTTTTACATAGATTTGCAAAATGACGTATTCGAATTCTAGAGGTCTCAATTGAGACGTCCGTCATAAATAGACCTTTAACTTCGAAATAAACCCGATTACTAAATGCAGTCCTTAAAGCTGAATCAGGGAAAAATACGGCGCTTCAAATTAGAATGTCGAGCACTATTTATTTTTAGTTCAAATATGCACCATTCGATACAGAATTTCATGCTGATTAAGGATATGTTACTTTGAATTCTTTTTAGTGCGCCTTATCACCGAGAAAAATTTAAAATTGAGAGCGACTCTCTTTTCGAAAATCCGCTACCTTTTTTAAAAATGGCGTAACTCGGTTCCAAATGGATTTGGAGCTTCACAGAGGTGTTTTTCTTGGTCAGCATCGAAAACTGCATCTAGAAAAGTATATTTGAAGGTTCCAGATGGAAGAATAACTTCTGGGCACGTCGCTTTTCGTTTACACCTTTTGTTTGACAATACTCATCTTGCAATCTACATGCAGCATTTTGGTTAAGAGGTAGAGACAAGTTTTATAAGCCATTCGCTTCGCCGTTCAATTTAGAACCAAAGTATGAAGTGCATTTTTCGAAATTTTCTTTCGTTGCTGAGAAAATTCATTTTTTCTAAATCAGGAGCGAAAAAGTGGAAATTCTGCCCATTATTGGCAGTTTTCTCCATCAGAACTCAACAACTATGCAATAAAAATACCATATTCTAGTTAGTTTATTTAAACGAAAATAAAACACATTACAAATAAACAAAATAAACAAAAGTCATTTAACTATTTAGTAACTAAATAGTCGAATGATGTAACTTTTTGCAAAATCTATTTTTCGCGATTGGCAGGCCTGCTTACGGGTACTCACGCATGGAACGTCGGTTAAACTATTTGCGCTCATCAGGGAACCGTCCCCAATGATCCGCCCCGATTTAACCAAAACATACATTTTCATGAGTTATTTTTGATGCTCATCACGAATCTGATATTCATTTCGACCGATTTGCCTTTCTAGTATGGATGCTCAAAAACTAGTTCTCTGGCCATTCACTCTGAATAGCTGAACGGAGAGACGTGGTTAAAAAGGCAGATCGGTCGAAATGAATATCAGATTCGTGATGAGCATCAAAAATAAGTCATGAAAATGTATGTTTTGATTAAATCGAGGTGGATCACTTGGGACGGTTCCCGTGATGTTCTCAACAATTATAGTGGCCGTCTATTTCCAAATTGCTAAACGGTTGTGACTTATTTCGATGTTATAGTACAACTTCATCTCATTGATGAATGTTTGCTTACCAATTGTCATTTGTGGATTTCTATATCTAAAACTTATCAGATTCTTTGAAGAGGAAAAACTATGATGAATTGTTTCTTTGATCAGCTCGTCTTCATTCAAGAATTTTGCCGAAGATGTGATCAATAAACTTTCGAGTAATATAAATTTTTCCAAATAATCATGTGCAATCAACTTGCACTTGCTAACATGTAAGCGTCTAATCGTTTTTGGTATTAAACTTTTGTTACATTTGATTAACAAATCCTCATTATCAATTTCTAGTACTTTTAAATTAGGTAAAGCTTCCAACAGTCGTTCGAAATAAAGCGGCGAAATGGGCAAATATTGATAAGTGAACACAGTGTTGCAATGTTCTTAATCGTTCTTCCATGGTTGAGAATGACGGTGATTGATAAGATGTTGTTGATAATTTAAGGTGAGTTATACTTGGAAAATGTTTTATTACTCTATCCAACGACGCTGTCGTAAATAAACATAATAGCGTCACATCCTGAAAGTTGTTCATTTCGATATTCCTACTTCTGTCATAATCAAATATTGTAAACGATACACTCTTCATCCACGGACGTGTATAAACATAGAACAGTTTCGTTACATCATCGACATGCCAACTAATGTTGGACCACTGACACTGATATGTCAAGAATAGTTCGGAGATATCTTGTCCCAATTCCACTCTAACACTCAAACGAAATTCTAAATGTGTCAAATTTGCCAAGGGGTATAACGTTTGCGCTAGCTGCAAACCGCTAACTGACCGATGGTACGAACGGCTTACGTGAACGCGATAATCAAACGATAACGACTGAAGATAAATCATTGATTGAATGACACGATCGAAGATACTGTAGTCAATTTGAGGCATAGTACTTATCATTTTAAAGTGAGTTAATCGCGGTACAAGTTCATGAACAAGACTACCATTATAGCATGATTCAAATCGAGAACATTCGTCGTCGTTCATCTTATATTCAAAATTAAATCCAATCTGCAGGCACTCTAGCCATGGTAAATAATTAAACAGGATCCACAGATCACAGATTGATTGAAGACATAAGGTCACGGTTGTTAATGAATAATGACAATTTGCATTCAATTTTAAATTCAGCTTATCTCGACATTCAAATTTGGTTAATGTATGTAAATATTTGTAAATAACAGAAGAAAATTGTTCAGCTGCCGATTCATTGACGTTATTAACGGTTAAATCTGTTAAATTAGATGTTTGCTTAAAACAAAGTTCGAAATCATCTGGTTCTAGAACACATAATAGTTTTAACTTTTTTAATTTTGAAAAGCTAAGATTATGAAATATTTTTCTTAATTGACAACCGTCCATAAAATTTCCATTAATCGACATTGAGATGATGTTAGATGAAACACGCGGTAGCACACGAGAACAAATGTAATCGAATGTAGATGATGATAGAAGCGATAAATAATTGACATTAGCTACAAACTGTTTCTCATTTAATAGACTGTTCCATCGTTCATCGAAATCGAAAAAGAAATAAATACATTCAACTGGTTTAAAGTACGAGAACAATTCCAACACGACTAGGTCAGGTAAATCAGTTATTATACACCTAAAAGGATGAAATGTAGATTTTGACAAATAAAGGTTAAGATCAAATTTAAATGCTTGATGCTACTTGAGCTGAAAGCGTCTAACAATATCTATAAAATCTTCTAGACATACATTACAAATAAAAGACGCTGAATAGTCACCTCAGAAAATCCTTTTGTGTTTGTTTCGAAATACATTACTTACACCATCATATAACCTCTATTAATCGATCGTCTATTCACAATAAACTGTAAATCCTATAATAGTTGTTGAGATACGAATCTGATTTTTGTCGTGATATTGAACGTTATTAGATTTAGAAGTGGCTACTTATATGCACTTATTTTTGATAACGTTCAAAGCCACTTAAAAAAAACAATCTTTGTAGCATTATGTGTCAGGAAAAGAAAAGCATTTTAAAGTATAAGCGACATAGACGAACGACATAAATCGTCATGAAAAATTAAAACAGATGAACTGTTGCTTAACTTCTTCTCATTCGGTTACACACAAAATATATATTATTGATGCCACTCATGTCTTGACGCTTTCTTCATAAGAGAAATTCACATCATTCAGCACTTTTCTTGTTAGATGGACTGACTAGTTTGTTCACTAAAGACGTTCAGAAAGGCAAACAACTACTGAATATGACTGACAATAAGATCGATAATATATATTTTGTGTATAACAGAATGAGAAAAAGTTGAGCAACAGTTCGTCTGTTTGGTTTTTCTTGACAACTAATACCTTTTTGGACCACTTATGTCACTTCTCTTTCTACTTTAAAAATGCTTTTCTTTTCTTGACTGATGACGCCAGAACGAAATAGTCAGCTGGCCTCCAATTGCAGTTTCCTGAAGAAAGAGCAATGAAAGAGGAGTCGAATTTTTTTTTAAAGAGGATTTGAAGTGCAAAAAGAGGATTGTATTTTTCAGCCTGAAAATCACGTTATACCCAGGAAGACATTTTGGACCCTCGCAAGCATTAAAATCTTTTTTTCGTCTTTAGGCATTAAAAACCTTTTTTGACACATTTTAAGCCTTCCGAAGACCTTGAGATTTTTAAGGCGTTCTCTGAAGTTACCCATGTGAACTGAAGACGTTGGAATGCGTTATTTTAATAAACTTCTATAATGTATGTAAAATTTTAATGCGTTGTAACG